TTTAAGTGACAAGTCCTACACAATATCTTTTTATCCGGTCAATATTTACGCAAACTATTTATTTAGCTGAATGGCAAACGCTACAGGCATGAACACAAGTTTTCTAAAAATTATACAGGTATTATTAAAAATATTTGATATCGACAACTGAAAATACCTTTTTGGGTACTAAAGGATATTGAAAATATACGTACAGTGTACGCATTTGGTTCTATTTCAAGGAGATCGATACTGTGTATTTAGTAGTTTTAATATAAATGTACAGCTAAACTTTAWTCTAACATAGTCGACTAATTCAAAACGACATTAAAACAATAAAATCATGTGGATTATATGTCACACGTCAAACTTTTAAACGAAATGTACACTTAAAATAAAGAAAACTAGCTAATGTAAAAAAGAAGAAAGAAAAACGTAATAAATGAAATTGAAAAGAAAAGATTAAGTAAAATGTAAGCCAAAGAAAGCGAACTTAAAGCCGCTACGAGAAAAGCAACTCAAGTTGAAAACTTAGCTGCGAAATTATGAAAAAAAGTTTTTTTAGAAAAGTAAATTTGTAGACTTTGTACCAATGTATAGCAAGGATTTTAAAAACTGCAAACTTTATTCCAGAAGAGACGTTGAGTTGATAACAGGAGCTTCAAGTCCTTCAGTGTGGCAAAATAAACATGTTTTTGGCAGAAGAGGGAAAAAGATACCGCATGCATTGAAAAACAATATGCCATACGTGCTGAAAGCGCCCAGGTATACTACTGYTGTTGAAATATCATTCGTGAATATTGAGAGATAATAAGTGCTTCACTGTTTTTATCTAAAAAATTGTAATAAAATGATACATATAAACCCTTAAAAAGATAGAAAACTCTGCCTTTTACCGAAGGACTAACGCCCGCAACGCCAGTGACRGTTTKTAATCCCAATTTGTAAAATAAAGCAAAAATAWAATTTAATTAAAACGACAAAAGGTGCCTAAACCTATAAACATAATTCRTCTCTCTGATTTATTTGATTTTTTTTTTRATTTCCCAGAGATGTTCCGACTGATAACCAACAGAGTTTAGTTAGTAAAATTGGAGAAAAAAACGTGAAGAAACAAAGTCAATTCAYAGTAATTAATATAAATCCTACCAATCCTACTGCATTAAAAATTGCCTCCCAACTTCGTTTGTCTTCTAATACCTACTTAAAATCAATCTTTCAGTTGAAAACATTTTTGCAATTAGTTGTACGTCAGAWACATATTCCTTGCCTTTGATAATCYAGCTTGCTAGCAAGATTTTAATTACATCCTTCTCATTTATACTTCAGAAGTTGAAAGTTTGTTTGCTGAAACAGATGTTTCAAAATAAACAGACACATTAGGCTTCAGAGCATATRTGAACCACTCTCTTAATTAGTTAGGATTTCTGGTTTCTGTAAGTAGTGGTTTTCTCTGGCGCCGAAATCCGTGCTTAACCTTAAATCAAGTCATACACTTATTTCAAAAAAACGTTCACGGGAACAACGGCCATTGCATTACYAAGGGACAATGMYTGGCTTATTACGGGCCCCATTAAACTTACATAATTTCACTTTCTAGGCTCGCTTTGTTTATTGAAAAGGAGACYAAATGGATCCAATGATTATCACAGACTATCCYACAGTATAAATCAGTGTTGTTATTCCCCATTCATTAGCAAAACCCACGGCTCCTTTCGGTTYTGTAATCGCCGTTTAACAATTACCACTCGCCATTTTTTCCTTTCTTGAAATGGTTCTTTGGCTTTTTTGTACATTAAAAATACAGACTTWTGAGCCGCTTAGTTGGAGACCAAGAAAAGKTGTCCATTACAATACTGTATGTTGAAATCATCTGAATAAAGTAAATACTTACAGTGACAGACTATATAAAGGTATTTTCTGTAAAYTTTAAGAAATACAATAGTTCTGTAAGTTTTCCTAATAGCTTGCCAACTGTCCATTCTTCACACTCCATAAATRTCCAGTAACTTTGCAGAGCAGAGGTCACACCAACAGGAGATGATGAAAGATTGACATCTTCAATAGATGGAATTGTACAAGGCTTTTCCCTGTCCATGCCTACCCCATCTTTAATGCTATGGATATCTGGAATGTACCTCTGCCAACAGTCCAGGTACATACTGTATATATATGAATAATACGACAAAGTTCTGAATTCACCTTGTGCAAAGCTGTAACTTAAAACTTCAAAGATCTCCACCAATCTATTTACTAGCTCTGTACCACACCAGTAACTACTTTCTGTGTAGWTATCCATCATAAATAATACCACAGTTTTAATGTAAATAGATGGGATTAAAGAGTCTTCACACAAGATGCAATTGTTTTTAACAATTTTAGGCAGGAATGTTCTTGCTACATGTTTTGCAAGCTTGTAACAATTTCCTACTGGTTTATTTCCATGAAATMTTTGTGKTTCTGTTTCAAAGAAAAAGCGTTGTGCCACAAAGGGATTTCGATTGATAACTGCAATAACTCCAGTTTTCAATCTCAGGCACTCACTTTGRATAAAGGAAATATTTGTTGCATGATACATATCTGGAACATAGATACCATCAAGTCGTTCAGCATCAAGAGGAATGCCAAAACATACATCAATTGACAAGATAAAGCCTGGATATGGCCCATCATGAGTACATTGTAGATGAACAGTCAAGGTCTGGTTCTTTAAATATACCCTCATCATATGSACATCACTCTCCTCTCGCATTGCCCACCCCTGTGGAATATGATCCTTCATGGTTTCACGAAAAACTTGGAGTAAATAAGCATTTGTAAGATAGTGCCTGTGGGAGCTGTCAAAGAAGGGAAACTGTTGTAAAAAAGAMATAATTTCATTRCAGAAGTGATGGCGGAGACGAACTTTAATTCCAGCTTGTATATAAAATAGTTCAGCAACATCTGGATTGGCYAACATTGGGAGTGCAACATTGAAGTCAACCTCATTGGGATTATAGATCTTTGTTCYCTCTGCCATACTTCCAGTTTTAATGATGTAACATTTGGAAAAAATCTGGTGTTTTTCYTGCAGCACAACAACAGTATCATTCATCAAGTGAGAGGCCATCTCTTGGATTAATTTAGTTTGAGGTATGTCATCAATGCTGATATTTGACAACCACTTCTTGGTCGAAGTGWACAAGAGTGAATTTAAAGAAACTGGACATTCAAGCTCAGTTTTTAAATGGGCACTCTTTGACTTTGACTCTTTATTMTCATCTCTGTCTGCTGCAGCTTGTTTAGTAGTTTCTGTTTYTTTATCCTSRTTGCAGTCMCTTGTTTCAATYCTTCTTTTACTGTCTTTTCCTGAATCTATTCCACTTTTGACTGCAGCACTCATGTTCATGCCAACTTTATCATGGATAATCTCACTTTGGGAATTATCCTGACCATTTTCTGTCAGTTCCTCTGACCTTGARCAACCTATCTCATATAGATCCTCATTGAATTGCTCCATTACTTCTTTACACACTTCAKTTTGATTGTTCTTTCTCATGGATGTATACTCTGAACATTTTGTTTTGTCATCTGGCCCAGACCTAATATCAGGTCCATGCAAAGTATTTTCAGTGTTGTGCAACTGACAGCTTTCATCATCCATGAACAGTGTTTCACAAATCCTGTTTGAACAGCATTTACGTTTTCCACAACATCAGATTCAGCTGGAATCACATCATCTTTGGTTTGAGTAAATTTATTAACATGATCTGCAAGGGAAAGCAGATTTTGTAGTTCTAACAGAATATCAATACACCTCGAAGTGGTTTGTTGGACGTCATGCTGAGGTGATGAAGCTGAGGTGATGAAGCCTTCAATCCCYTCGTTTTCCCCATCGAAAATAGGTTGTTCAACATTTTGGTTTAGTATTCTTAATTTCTGGTCTTCATCGTTTGTCTCATTAGAAGGCAATGAAAATTCTGGCTGTCGACAAAACTTTGAGTCCCTGTCTTCAAAGTTGGTTTGCCATAATTCATAAGGCCACGGAGGCTTCGCTACTAATGGTGAATTCTCATCTTTTCGTTGAATGTTGACGTCTTTCAGCAATTTAGCTGAGAGCATTTTATCCATTGTCTCACTTTCTGCTTCAATCAAAAGTGAAAGTTCAATTTGAAGCTTGTTTGGGATCTGGATCTCTTCGTCGATCTCTTTCGCTTTCGCCATTTTTCTCAGTTTGAGCCACGGTGCCTTTGGCCAGCGTCAAAAAGTAAAGTAAGGTAGGTACTTCATGTATCGTTTATATTATGTACCGTCCATTGTGTTGTCCTCCAGTTGGAGCTGCATTGCCATGAACTGCAAGGGGACTAATGTTTCCCATTTATCGGCTCGTTTATCCCTTATATCCCACATTTCCATTCATTCACCCATTAATCATTCCTAGTGATTCATGAATCATCATCGTTCATCTCCGAAATAAATCTTTTGGACAGACATTTGATAAAAAATAAAACCTGTTTGGATTTTATTCGTTCATTAGCATTCATTGTCAGACTACAGACCAACCAAATCGATTTTAAACCACAAATTTGGTAGCAATAATGTTTTATTTTGACAGAACTCTAATGAGGCTTTCGCTTAAATTCATATATGAAGAGAGTTGAACACATGTTCGATTGGTATAATGACTCAGTGGGCGGTCTTCAAGTTCTCACAAACTAAATATACACCTTTTTGTGCTATAAAAGTCACTTTCCATTTGATAATAAGAGCTCAATGAATGAATAAAACAGAAAAAACTGAAAAAAAAATCCGCTTGTAAAATAAAGTTCCCTGGTCTGCTCCTCTTCGCTTCACTTCGAAGCGAGTTTTAGAGTCAACGGAAACGCAATACAATAATGAGCTTGAATACTCTACGAAAATTCAATACAATTACAYACGTAAACGCAATAGTCGGAATACATGTTGCGCAAACGCGTAATGTAGACGGAACCTCAACATTCAAATAAAGTAAACTCGTTAGAGGCAAACGCATCAATATTGGCACTTTTATCCGCTTCAATTACTGAGTAAACCAAGAAATAAAATTGACCGTTTTAGTTCGATAATTTTTTTCAGAAACTAATGAAAATACACTATACGAGAAAAGCACATTATCTACGCAACCAAAGTCAAATTGACCGGTTTTGTGTGTACATTTGCTCTAAGCGAACCAAGAGAGTGTAAGACAAACTTGTCACAAGTTGATAATTTCCGTTCCGAAAAAGTAAAAAGGTGACAGTTTGATCATTAATAAAGGTTGGAAGCCGCAGATATAGCCATGACAAGTTGACACGAAGAAAACTTTATCTTAATATAACACCAACTGTTATTGACATAAATCCCACTTGCTAATGTCATTTTGAAAGAACATCATGAGTAATATCAAATAATCATCTTCCAAGGCATTCAAATGRACTATTTCCTTTGAGACGTATCTTCAAAACAGGTGTATGCCATMTTTAGAAAGCTTACCTAAGAGTTTTTATTAAGCTCTTATCTTGGTAACAAACCGCTTAGATTAACTGACCAAAATGAGCAACAAAAGTTCTGTAGATGATTGCCACTTTTTGCCTCTTCCGGACTTTAATAAAGTCGGAGAAAGACATTTTTCGAACACRGCTACAGCGGTGATAAACACGACTATAATGCCAGTAGCCATTATTGGTAATCTTTTGGTCATGTTAGCAGTCTACAAACTTCCTTCTCTGAAAACGCCATCAAATGTTTTGCTTGCTTGTTTGGCCTTTTCTGACTTTCTCATCGGTCTAGTCGTACAGCCCTTGTTTGTGATATACAGGGTAATGGAAAATGTTGACAAGCGTGTTCCTTGTGACTTCAGAGTTGCTTATTCTGAAAGCTTTTGGGTCTGTTATGGTGTGTCCTTCATGATGTTGAGTGCCATCAGCTTTGAAAGGTCAGTTGGTATAATCGCAAACATATACACAAGCATAAGACAAAACGCAAGTAAAAGGTCCATCAAGTGAAACAGTTCTGATTAATTTGGGATACTTCATAATTTTAAAAGATAATCGTATGAGGAAGTGGCTGATCCCATTAAAGAGTGCTCAATACACATAAAGTGTAGAAAAAAAAGTGTAGGAAAATACTGTCTGATGAGTGCGTAGCACGGAAACTCGGAGTTACAGCAAAATCTTGCCTCTTTGATATCATATATACAATTTTAAAAGATATAAAACTTTTGACATTTCGGGCTTTTGTCCGTCGTGTTTTGACGCCGACGAACCGCCAACGTCCGAACCACTAAGTGCATTTCCTGTATTTTTTAAGATGTATCACCACCTTTTCATTATAGACAGAAAACCAAGGAAGCTCACATAATAGTTTAACTCTATATTGTAATCTTTTCTATCAAAGTCAAAGCCAACTTAACGCGAGATAGCAGCCAAGCCAATATGCGTAATCAGTAACGTAAGACCTAATATAGCGTACATTTAATTTCCCAATCGGCCCCCAAATGCGTTTTGCATTGTTTTTAATTCAACTAGAACAATGTAAAAATGCGTTGTTTGGCGCGATTGGGACAATCTGGAAGATTAAATGAACACTAGAGTCATAACACTTGCACCGTGAAATATGATCAAAATAAACAGTAAATATTAGTGTCTATTTATTGACTAATAGTAGATATTACTGAACCAGAACACAGTTCATGAAAACAAAAGGCAATACACAGGAGACTTGACAACTGCCATCTTTATTTCATGTACAATCAAGACAAAAGACACATCTAGATCTAAAATAACCACACAATACACTAGGGAGCGCGTTTAACGAATCTTTATTTATTTGTGCTGCTGTAGAATCAAGACAAAAGACACATCTAAAGCTAAAATAACCACACAATACGCAAGGAAACGCGTTTAACGAATCTTTATTTATTTGTGCTGCTGTAGAATCAAGACAAAAGACAAATCTAAAGCTAAAATAACCACACAAGACGAAACGCGTTTGGAATCTTTATTCTCTGCGCCGCGCGCAGCAAAATTAAAAGATAGAAGACATTGTAAGGCTAAATTGAAAATACTGTAACAATAGCAAACCCAGTACGCAAATGACCGTGTTTTCTAACGAGTTTATTATAAGAGCCTAAACTAAATATCAAGACAAGACGCACTGAAATGACCCGCAAAAATCTATAAACAACGTGGTTTCGAACGAATTCTATCGCTCAAAGCTAAGTTATTTGACTAGTCAATATAAAAAAGCGACTTGACAGCAACCAGCGGCGACGTTTTATATTTATCCTTTGCTTAATTGAAGCTCAAAATAAACACAATAAATTTTATTAATCATTTCGGAAATGTTTGTGAGATACGTACCTTTTGAGCATGGGACATTRGTTACCAAATCATTATTTCAAGCAGCACTCGTAACAGTTATAAAGTTAGTTACTATAGCTATCTAATTTCACAACTCTTTTTGTCCTTTCAATAAACGTGATTTCCATGAAGCCTACATTTAACACAAGCTCTAGCCCTTCCCGACATCTTTCCTCTGGGTTTAACAAAGAACTAAACCAGCAGCTCTTCATTTCTTTCCTTAATTGTGGGTGGGGCATTTTTTAACAAATTCCTCCTTCTTCATTAGGTAGCTTTTAATAACGTTGTTTGGCTTCCAAGTCTCTTGTGTATTACCTTTTGTTGTTAAGAATTGTTTTGGTTCAGTGATATCTACTATTTCATACAAATAGTCAGTAAATAAAAACTAATAGTTACTACTTCTTTGATTTTGTTTCACGGTGCAAGTGTGATGACTCTAGTCCTGAGACGATTCGTGTTTTTCTTTCTTTGTTCTTCATGATATCATTGTTTTAAACGTTGTTTTTCTATCGGTGCTTGTGATGACGCTTGTTCTTGCGTTCAATGTGCCGGTACTATAAGCTTGTGCTTGCGCTTATAATCATAGATGTGTTTGATTACTTGCGAGAAAAAGAAGTCCAATAKAAGGATAGTGAAGTTAAATTTAGTGCGTTTAGCAAAGGGGATGGTAGAATGCCTAAGTGCTCTTGACATTTGAGCTTTGAAAAGAGTCAATATTAGGTAGAGTACTTTTCTATGTGCTAGCGGAAACTGGCTCAGTGTTTAATTTAAAAAAGGCAAATACAGCCCAGGAGCAGAGTTCAAAAGGAAATTCAAATGAAAGTTCAGAAGGCCATTCATATCTTTCAGTAGCAACGGCCGCGGCGAGAGATGAACTCCTTGTTTATTATTTTAACTTAGTCGGCACTTTGTTGTTTTTATTGCTCAATATAGTGTGCTTTTTGTACCTTGATAAGTCCACATGTTAATGTGTTTATTTACTTTTTCAACTCGATATGGCAAACACGGCAGCATCATGTGAAAAACAAGTAAAACACTGCACCTTCCGGACATGTGCTTGTATATACTGGAAAAAACGTGCGTAAATTTCTACGTAAATATCACGTAAATCAAAATGATTTTACCTGGTATTTACAACAAATTTACAGGGTTCCATTACGTTGCGGAAACAATTTATTTGTCAAATGGGGAAGAACGCGAGCTTTAATCTCTGTAAATTTCATGTAGATCAAGAAATCAGCCATTTATATGATATTTACAAAGTTCAAAGTTCAAAGCGCGCGGGTTTTTTTCCAGTTTCAGTTGATTTACAACGCACGCAGAAATAAGCAGAAACGGAAACATAAACGCAAGCATAAATAGGAGTAAAGAAAAGGGGACAGACAAGGATAGCTGTACATGTTGTTGTAAAGTTCCTGAAGGAAAGTCTCATGCACTTTGAGTTTCTTGGCGTAAACTTTCGGATCGACGGCTTAGCTAAAGATATTCGTGATATTCTACAACGAAGGTCTATCTTTTCTTCGACTTTATTTCAGTAATTATTGAAGAYATCAATATTTTTAATGATCGTGATTGTTGTATTTATTGTGCTTCTCTTCACAGGTTCATTGCTCTTCGACTTCACCTGCGGTACAACAAAGTCGTAACAACTCGTTCCATTCTACGTACAGCGGTGTTTATATGGATAATAGACATTATTCTAACCGCCTGCCAGTGGCTTGGACCAGAAGATAACATCGACCTACGTAGCATCCAGATTACCTTATTCCTAGTCTGCATCATCAGTACAATTATCATCCAATTCAAAATATTYCGTATCCTCTTGAGGCACCAAAAACAGATTCGTTCTCATAGTGCGCAGAACTGTCGACTTTACACGAAACAGAAAAAACTCGCAATAAACGTGACATAYATTGTWGGRTTTTATCTTCTTTGCAATATGCCTGTTATCGTTGTWCAACTTTGTCAATTTGCATGGAAGATTGAGTTTTTCTCGCTAAACGTCTATGGATGGGTTGAGACTATAGCTTTCTTTAATTCGAGTTTAAATCCGATTATCTGTTGTTGGAGAAATAASGACATTCGGCAGGGTATAGTGCGCATGCTCAAGAGGATAAACTGCACKAGGAAAAGACAGCGATCAAGGTCAACTGTTTATTTTCTGCCAAGTAAACCACAACAGGCTGCGGCTGACAACAAGACAAACGAGAAGTGACATGAAGATAAATGGATATGATTTCGCCATAAACAAGACGGCTGCCATCTTGAATGTACTTGCACTGTCAACTTTGTTTCCAGCATAAATGAAGTCAAATGAATTTTCTGACAGAAAAGAACCTTACAGAAGCTCTAGAGAACACCAGTCTGGGTATTCTAACAGGATAGATGGACTGGTTTCTACTAAGAGAAGAAATACGCAATACGCATGACAARACAGCACCAACAAATACGACTGCCATCTTGAACATGCTCGCACTAAATTAATTTTAAAAGAAAATGACTTATTAAAATAAATTATAGGACAGCAAAGGCACTGAAAACTACACGCAACTCAAGGCACAACAACTTGAAAACTTCAATACAAATGAGTTATGGTTTCTAAMAAAATGAATGGCAATAAAGCATCAATGCGGCCGCAATTTTGAATATTCTCGCATTTTCATATTCGCTAAATTAATAAATAAATAGATTTCCAATGGATTATATGACAAAAAAGATACAATAACAGGTACAGGCAACTCTAGGGTCACTAGTCTGGTGTCTTTAAGTAATACAATTGAATTAGTTTCGACCAGAAGGCACATGATGATCGGAACGGCAAGAAAGCAAGCCGCCGTTATCTAGAATGAAACATAAAGCAGTGTACGCGCTGCAGACTGGGGACGTAACAAGACAATTGAATTGTTTTCAAGGAATAAACAGAGTAGCAGGCATTCATTCCAGTGTTAGAAGTGTYACTAGTGGAATGTGCAATATTATCAAAAACTGTGCCAATGAAAAAGTAGAATTAAAACTATTCTCAATGTGCTTGTTTTTTTTTTGTGATGTGTGGTCACGTGACCTTGCGATGAAGCTGAAGCCTGATTGAAAAAGCAGTTTTTCATTTAAAATGATTTACTGCTTCAAAGTGGAAGATCAAAAGAAAATGGTTATAACATTATAATTTTTTCAGTKATCCCCGACCCCAGGGCTACTTCTCATGACTTCTCTTTAAGACTGATTGTTGATCCTTTAAATAATAATTTTGATCCCTAACCCTAGCCGATGTCTTAGATAAGATATTGATATCGATTCTAAAGCTAAAATTTTGATCGCCGAGTCCAAAGAGATGACGGAAGTGTGATACCTGAGCCCCAAAACATAGTGAAAACCCAGCCTTTTTTTTAAACCGACAACCGGTTAGCTCAGTTGGCAGAGCACCGGACTATTGTGCGGGAGGTCAGGGGTTCAACCCCTGGCCGGACCACCACTCAGGGTCTTAAAATAATTGAGGAGATGTTGCTGCCTTTGTTTCTCTATCTGCAAATGGTTAGATCATCACGTCTTCTCGGATAAGGACGTTAAACCGTAGGTCCCGTCTCCCTACAATTCTCTATATGCTGTATCAGGGGGACGTAAAAGAACCACTGAGGACGTAACAAACCCTGGCCGTGACCACCCTCAGTGTCTGCCTCACTCTGTGGCCTCTGGCCCTTCTAGTATTAGCGAAAGCTACTTTAGAAGTATATATTCTAAGTTCTAAGCCTGACTGAAACTCATATTTTCCATGTTGACGAAAATTACGTCATTTTGACCTCAGTGACCAGGCCTTGTAGTACCGGGCAATAAACCAAGACGCGGTCTTCCGAAGACAGCCATTATCCGTTGTAAATAGCACTGTAAAATCGCCCTTAAAATCTGAATTAATTGAATTTCACTGAGCACATCTTATACTATGGAAGACGAAGTGACAACGTACGATTGCTTGCTGAAGTGGGTAAGTTTTAAAGCATTTTAATTCAGATCTGAAGTTGASTGATGCATCGCGATTTGTTAGAAAGATGTCTGCACAAATGAATGCATTTTCTTAAATTATTTTTTTTCTACAGCTTAATACCTTCGAAAAAATACAATCACCACACGCWACAGCAGAGGATCTTTCCGATGGAGTAGCATTATGCGAATGCTTGGCTGAAATGTGAGTCGYTTTTCTTCGACGTGGCATCCTTAGAAATATTTGTAGCTTGCCATTKCAAAGTTTACGATTTTGGCTCTAGATTCAAATTTCAACTGACATGATTTGAATAAATYATAAAACTACAACTTAGATTACAATATTTCGGAAACTGGAATATCTTTTGAGTGTAATTATGGCTTAATTTGTTTATTTTCTATGTGTGTTCTGACATTTTATAAGATACAGATGGCACTCTACATGAACTGCTCATATCATCTGAAAATTCTCTTGCAAAATCTTCTTGTCGTAAATAATTAAGCTAACTTTATTTTGTGAAGACRTCAGACGGGAATCACAGTTTCTTAGTTAAAATGTTTGCAAGGGACACTTTAAAATAATATCTTTATATTATCTAAATGTTAGAATTCACGACTCACAACTATATTCCAATATTGCAGACACAACAAAGGCCTGAATTACATTTGTGACATGACTTAAATGTACTAAAGTTGTTTAGATCGTTTATCAAGTAAAATTTACTCGAAAGTTCCAGAAATTTGGCAATTTAATTTTACTAGAATACATGATATGATCAATCAATCATTTCCTAAATACTATAATGTCAGCTCAGAATTGCTGAAGTATGACCACAACAAGACGATAATTAGAAAATACACAAAAACAATGATCCAGGTTACCTGGGCTATTGTCTTTGTTCACAATATTGACTTTTGATATTTCCTCCAAAGATTTGAATAGCAATTTATTCAGTTTCACAGATATTTGTTGGATAAATTATATTCATAATTCCAAGCCAAGSTTTATTGTCTTCATGCGTATTATTGGCTTTTGATATTAGCTCCAAGAATTTGAATTGCAATTTCAGTTTCAGTAATATTTTTTTTTGTGAATAAGTACTTAATACTCTTAATTCCAAACCAAGTTGACTGGTCTATTATATTTGAGTATATCTCTTCTTTAGCGCTCCTGATTGGTTTGACGATGAATGGATGTCTAAAATCCGCAAAGATATTGGCGACAACAAAAGACTTAGAGTATGTGACATTGTCATTTTTTCTGTCTGTGAATACACATTCATTGATGACAAGTTTGTACTAAGTAAATTTTGTTTAGTTTCCAACTGTGCAGATATTTGAAATATCTTTGGAGTTCAACCGAGATATATACATAGTATTACAAAACATATGGAATCATTCAGTCACAATATTCAATTTCTTATTTCTCCAGTTGAGTAATCTCAAGAAGTTGATTAAAGGAATCCAAGATTATTATTCAGAGGTACAAAATTCTCAAGACTATTCCAACCTTTTTTTTATTGTTTTATTAACTCATTTCTTTAATGTTTTTGGTAAAGGTTCTCAGCATGGACATCTCAGGTTTTCCTATGCCAGATGTCAACATTCTTGGTATGTATCATGATAAATAAATAATAAATTCACTAAAATAGTGAAAAGGTACTTTTAGTGCTAAATAGCACAATATAATCAAGTAGATTAGACTATAGAAAACAAAAAGATTTGCTAAATTCAATGGAATTTAGCACAATTTAATCAAGTTTTTCATGGTTTTAGTGTTTGCAGTCTATAATGAATAGTTTACTTAAAGAGTGTATAATTACACCTGATTTCAGCTGATACAGCTAACAAAGCTGAACTAGGAAGGCTGTTACAGTTAATCTTGGGATGCGCAGTCAATTGTGAAGACAAACAAGGTACTGGGTGCTAATCAACCTACAGTGAATTTAATACTATATCAGCACAGGTGTTGAACACTTACACATACATATGAGAAGGGACACCACAAAAGGAGGCTAAAGAATTAAGACCCTTTTGATCCAGCCAGTCATGCACCTTGACAATAGAGCCGAACACAAGGCCCAAAGTTTCCTTTTCTCTTGGTAATGAAAGCCGAAATTACTGATCAAAAAAGCTGACGTTGATTGATGACCTTGCTTGTTTTTTTTTATTCTGTCTATCATTCACCCCAAACACAGTCCATTTAACTCATGGTTCAATTATTATAAATTCTGCAGTGTATGGCTACCACAATATTTTGTCTTTTAGAATACATACAAGTCATTATGTCTCTAGAGGAAAGTGTTCAGCATGCAGTAATGAATGCCATACAAGAGGTACAGCTATATGTAAATGTAGTGTACAGATTTCTGTAAATGAATAGTTATTGTTGCATTAATTATTATGTCAGTATTACTAAGTATTAATATTTTAATATTACTAAGTATTACTAAGTTTTTTTGACCTTGTTATAGCTAATATCAGCAAGAGAAGCATCTGGAGTCAGTAGTGAAATATTTAAAGAACTAGAAATACAGGTACAATATTTAATTTTCATAGCAAAAAATGTAATGTTAGATGAGCCAGAGGACATGCTGTCTAATGAGGGTTAAGTTGATTAAAGCATCRTTTGTCTTAGAAAATATCTAATTACACAAAGATGGAACTGTTTAACTGTACAGACGGGTTCATGTAATGTTGATTGGATACATGACGTGTATGGTCCATTGAAAAGCCACCACCTGCTTTTACCATTACTTGACTTAATATTTTTMAATAAAAAATAAATGTAATGCCTTGGTTTTAGAAACTTTGTACTTTGYTTTTTTTTACTTTATGATTATTTTGTAAAAGAGAAACTTTTAATATCGATATTATAGCATAAAAGAACTCTGGATCAGTTAGCAATGGCCATGGCTGAAAAAGAAGAATTGTCACAGCGTTGTCATGAGCTGGACGAACAGGTATATGTCATGTAGTGTACATATTGTATGTTTACATGTAATACAGCCTTTTGCAAAAATTATGAGAATTGTCGAAATATCTAAATATCATAATATCAAGTGCATGATGGGTAATCCTGCGCGATGCCTTTAGTCCCTTGTCTTTGTAGTTTAGTTAGTTTTTTTTTGGCGACAGACTTATCCGTAGTTCTGAACATTTTCTCGATGTCAACAATGAATTATTCTAGCAAACCCGCGTGTTCCGGACAATATATGGATATGGATATTATGATATTTAGATATTTAGACAATTSTCATAATTTTTGCAAAAGGCTGTATTGTATGCTTACATGTAATATATAATTTGTGGATTCATAATTACTGTCTCATCAAGACTCCACCATACTAAAAGTCAKTAAGCCATACTGTAGCAAGTTGACACACTCTAAAATGCTACCTAATACTCATTACTAAATTGTTACTTTCAGATAACATTCTTGAGAGARTCAGAATCCAATCTTACTTTTGAAAATGAACGGCTTAAAGGTCAAATTAGTCAGTCAGACTTTAAAGYTGACAGAGAAGATGAAGGGTTAGAAGACTTGATTTTACMGTCATTTGCATTGCCAWGYAACCAGTCCAGATRAAACTTCACAACTRCAATAAGCAAAAAAACTGCCGACAACTATATTGGTTTAGYGCTAAAGGCCCTTTTTATTTTCAAAGTTTGGATTGACAGCAATCTATTGCTGTTTGTACAATGTGAATTTTRTCTGAAGTGGTCACATAACAATGCAAACAGCTGTACTWTAGCTACARTATTTCAAAGCAGATTKTTTATGAAAAATGTGCAGTCCAAATTTATGCTGCACTTACATTTAGATCTTTACTGATACAATAACGACAGAAAAATAATGATAGCTATTGATATCCTTATTTATTTTAGATATCCAAGTAAAAAGATAAATCAATTAAAGCAGCAAGTTGATGATTTAAAAGAGGAGAACTTTCTATTAGAGACTGGTAAGAAACAAAACAAGTTACTACATACATTTTAAGTTTATGGCAACAGAATTAGCTATATTATTCCTCTTACAAAGGTACAAAATGAAATATATACGGTATGGAAAGGAAAAATATGGACATTACAGCAGAAACCGTTTCATCGCGACTTCAATGTTCAAAGGAAATAGTTAGGATTTAGATTTTTCTGTGACTTGGGGGCGGAGCTTGATACTAATCAGTCAATGATTGAACGAGTTTTCGAAAAGCTCCGCCCCTCCGATGGAAAGAAAGAACAAAATCCAGACAAACTTCAAAACAAAGAGGTCACGATACAACGATTTTCGCTGTAACCTGTAAACAGACTAGTAGAACTCTGAAGCTTTTATGTCATATACCGTATATGCAATGTATTGTAGGAGATGTTTTATGACAAACCATGGCGGATTTCTTTTGTTTCTCTTTAGAAACTGATCCCTCAATGTATTGCAATTTACATGTGATGTAAAAGTTTCAGAAGACTATTTAAATCTGTGCTGGTGTAATAAAGTTTATGCAATCCATTTTCTTATTCCTCTGCAGCTAGAGATGACTTTAAAATCAAATATGAACAACTTGAGAAAGATATGGAAATATTGAATGAAAGGGTATGGTTCTCAGAAAAAAACTACTTCTGATAATTCTAACAGTCTCTGCTCTACTGTGTTCAATAACAATGCACTCTAGACCAAAAAAGAATTGAAGAGAGGAGCACAAGCCATAAAGGAGTTCTTCTCACTTCATGACTCCTCTGTTTAGTATTCTTCATTTACTAGCAGACTACAAGACTGTTAATGTTAACTTTAATATTTTTTGTTTTGATTKTATCAAAGAATGAACAACTACAAGGACTTGCAGAGGAATCACAGCAGTTGAAAGATGAGATGGATGTCTTACGACATATGCAGGAAAAAGTGGTAAGACTCTGATTAATGCTAAAATACTCAGGGAGGGAAGGGTGGGGGTGATTATTGGTAAGATACTGTACTCAGAGGGAGGGGGCTGGGGTGAGGTGGATGTGTTACGACATATGCAGGAAAAAGTGGTAAGACTCTGATTATTACTAAAATACYCAGGGAGGGGAGGGTGGGGTTGATTATTGCTAAGATACTCAGKGGGAAGGGGGCTAGTGTCTATAGCTCCCCCAATAAATTGCTCAGAAAACAAATTTTAAAATACATGGTACATTGACGTTTTTTGATAATTTTGTAATTWATTGTGATATGATAATTTTTCAATGCTAGCCCCACCTTCCCCCAACTCAAAATACATCTGTGCTCTGCAGTCTAAGTTCATAAGTTGAGAGTGGAAGACTTACAATGTTGTAATGGTCACCAATCATACAAGTTATTGATCAAGTTTTTATGCTTTTGATTTTAGTCGAAGTATGAATCTACCATTGATATGTACAAAAAGAAACTTGGTAAGTACATACAGCAAGAGTGGAATGAATGATTCAGGGTTTGTGCTACTCCTTGAAATCTTTGAAAAGTGCTGTAATTGTTTTCAAGAGCACTCAAAACTCCTGGAATATTCCCTTAATTGAATTGATGCAATTTGCATGTTCTTAATTTCAATTGTGTTAACAATAGCACTGTGTTTGTTTGTAGAGGAATTGTCTGACATGAGAAAGCAAATGAAAGCTCTTGAGGAGAAAAAYATGACATACATGCAGGAAACAATGAACTTGGAAGAGGTTAGAAAGTGTTATGATGGAGTGGGTGTTCAGAAGATTTACTAGTTGTGGGTACCCTGTGTATAGTATAGTCATGTGATCGACCATGAAGTTGTAGTTGTATTGTCTTTTTAACTCGAAGATTGCGAAGCAATCGAAGAGTTATAGGAGGGAGATAGATGATGGTGTGTGAGGTGAGATGGACTAGTTAATAGGTCACTTATTTTTTCTGTAAACATACGGGCATTTAGAAAGCCGTAACCAAGATGGTCAGATGTTAGAACAAGAAATTGTGATGGTGTTGGTAATTCATTGTCGATATTGTGAAGGTGTTATTCGAATGCATATGAATTATTAAATTCAAAATTTCAAGTTCAATATTTTCATTTATAGATTTTTTGTCGAAATTAGAGCATATGTAAACAAAGTTTGAGGCTTTGTACAGATATATGTCCACGGTATACTTGTCTAGCAATCTTTGAGTAGTGTCGCCATTGGCGGCTTGATTTTGTTTCTCTTTTGGATTCAAACAATGTTGGAAAACTACTTGTAAACATTTCATATACACTGAACACATACTGTACTGGCATCTGTGAGCCAACAATCAACATATTGATGATGATGATGATGATGTTGTTAGAAAGTACTGTCCATTGACGTTTTCTACAAATGCAAGATCATGGTGCATTGTGGTCTAGCTTCAGTATAAAACAAACCATATTTAGCTATATGAACAAAAGACCTTTGAAGTGAATCTAGACCAAAATAGAACCATCATTGTACCTCAGAAAATACCTACAGCAACTAATATGTAAAAAAAAATTTTCTTGGTAGGATCTAAGAAAAGCCAATCTCTTGAAAACACAGCTTGATACGTACAAAAAACAGGTCAGTCAGTTCTATAAAAAAAAAAGAAAAGCTCCAAACTTCATATTAAATAACACTTTGAAAAAAAAAATTCTATAGGTTCACCAATTACAAGTACAAGTCACTAAAAAAAAAAGACGGACAGACAGGGTAGGTGGTGAAATGTATTTTAAAAAAAAAGTGGGTTCCCTATACACAACTTTCAAAAATGAAGGTAAAAAAAAATCCTAAATATCGGGGGACTAATAACGAATCATGGAAAAAAAAAAACAAAGGCCTTCCATCTAGAAATCACCATGGATCGCAAAAAAAAAATGTCCAAAAGTTTGAAAGTTGATTTTGATATGTTATTTATAAGAAAACACTCTTGCAAGACACCATCGAAGATTACTTTACAAAAAAAAACCTTTGAGACCTCGTTTTAGTGTTTTATCTGCAGTGAAAAAAAAAGCAACCGTGAAATATCGCGCCATTTTTGAAAATCGTGAATACAAAGGAGAAGCCTTGTCTGTAGGCATCACAATTTTTTGGGTTTCCTGTGTCGTTAAAGACATTACAAAGGAAGCCCGACATACAAAAAAAAAAAAGTGTCCGTAGGAAGTGATGCCAAGTGATGTCTGAAAAAAAAAATAATGATGTTTGAGGATTACTAATAATACATGTACCAAAAAAAAATTACCAGGCTGAGTTTGAAGCCAAAAAAGCCAAAGAAAAAAAAAAAAATAGTGAAGGAGAGAATGAGGTGAGTTTGGTTATAAAAAAAAATTGACATTAGTCCTGTGAAGTCCCAGTAAGCTGATGAAAAAAAAATATGAGTAGTCGGAAACAAACTTCACTATAGTGTCTAAAAAAAAAGTAATATATACAATATGAGCGGGCGATTATTGTATAAAAAAAAAAAAACGTTGAGGTAAACTAGCTCAGGTTTTAAAGAAAAAAAAAAAAAAAATATCAATCTGACCGAGAAAATCAGAGTTAAAGAAAAAAAAAATGAACAAGAAATCTGTATGTAATATACAACTCTCTAAAAAAAAAATGATTTCTATTGTGTTTTGCCTTATGAATATTAATAAAAAAAAAAATGTATCCTTACAAATTTTTAAAAATACGTAGTTCAAAAAAAAATATAGTTACTGCTTAAAAAGAATACCCATGATATTTAAAAAAAAATATTTAAAGACCGGTTTACACTTGCGATTCTTGCAGAAAAAAAAACGCGCGATAATCATTACTTTGCTATCGCATAAATCGAAAAAAAAAACAGCCAATCGCCGCAAAGATGCAGCTGAATTTCAAAAAAAAAAAAAACTCAGGCGATGGTCGCGCGACGATCGCGCTGCAAAAAAAAAAAGTGTAAACTGGTCTTTAGGTGTAGAATTACTAATTAAAAAAAAAATATATTTATTTCTATAGAGATTCAAACATGAAAAAAAAAAAAAAAAGGAACAGATTGAGGAACTGGAACTGAGCCAGGCGAAAAAAAAATGGTGTAGTTGCATGTCATCATTCTAACATGTTTCTAAAAAAAAATCTTCTGCAAACTATACATGCATATCAGAAGTATTTAAAAAAAAAAGTAGTTATTTGCGACCGGTAAAAAAACCTTTGAGAAAAAAAAAAGGGTGGTGAAATATCTCAGTTCATGCTCTTCAGATTAAAAAAAAACTAACCTGCCTATGTTCATTCGGTTAATTCTCGAAAAAAAAAAAATGTGGACGGTGTTTACGGGTAAACGCTGGATGAACCAAAAAAAAATTCTCTCTT